AAATAAATACATTTTGGAAGAACACTGCTTCTTGTATAAATCAATGTCAATGATATCAGTGATGACTTGATAAATCAATATCATTGATGACTTGATAAATCAATGACAATGAAATCAGTGATGACTTGATAAATCAATGACGATGAAATCAGCGATGACTTGATAAATCAATGACAATGAAATCGGTGATGACTTGATAAATCAATGACAATGAAATCATTGGTGATTTGATCAATCAAAGACAATGATATCACTTGATAAGTCAATGACAATGATATCAGTGACAGCTTGATAAATCAGTGACAATGATATCAGTGATGACTTGATAAATCAATGACAATAAAATCAGCGATGACTTGATAAATCAATGACAATGATATCAGTGATGACTTGATAATTCAATGAAAATGATATCAGTGATGCCTTGATAAATCAATGACAATGATATCAGTGATGACTTGATAAATCAATGACAATAAAATCAGTGGCGACTTGATAAATCAATGACAATGAAATCAGTGGCGACTTGATAAATCAATGACAATGAAATAAGTGGTGACTTGATAAATCAATGACAATGAGATCAGCGATGAGTTGATAAATCAATGACAATGATATCATTTGATAAGTCCATGACAATGATATTAGTGATGACTTGATAAATCAATGACAATCAAATCAGTAATGACTTGATGAATCAATGACGATGAAATTAGTGATGACTTGATAAATCAATGACAATGATATCAGTGGCAACTTGATAAATCAATGACAATGACATCAGTGATGACTTGATAAATCAATGAGATCAGTGATGACTTGATAAATCAATGACAATGATATCAGTGGCGACTTGGTAAATCAATGACAATGAAATAAGTGGTGACTTGATAAATCAATGACAATGAGATCAGCGATGAGTTGATAAATCAATGACAATGATATCATTTGATAAGTCCATGACAATGATATTAGTGATGACTTGATAAATCAATGACAATCAAATCAGTAATGACTTGATGAATCAATGACGATGAAATTAGTGATGACTTGATAAATCAATGACAATGATATCAGTGGCAACTTGATAAATCAATGACAATGACATCAGTGATGACTTGATAAATCAATGAGATCAGTGATGACTTGATAAATCAATGACAATGATATCAGTGGCGACTTGGTAAATCAATGACAATGACATCAGTGATGACTTGATAAATCAATGAGATCAGTGATGACTTGATAAATCAATGACAATGAGATCAGCGATGACTTGATAAATCAATGACAATGAAATCAGTGATGACTTGATAAATCAGTGACAA